GTAGTAGGTTGGTAGACAGCAACCACCCAGGGAGGTACTACCGTCCTGTGGTAGTAGGTTGGAAGACAGCAACCACCCAGGGAGGTACTACCGTCCTGTGGTAGAAGGTTGGTAGACAGCAACCACCCAGGGAGGTACTACCATCCTGTGGTAGTAGGTTGGTAGACAGCAACCACCCAGGGAGGTACTACCGTCCTGTGGTAGTAGGTTGGTAGAGAGCAACCACCCTTGGATGTACTACCGTCCTGTGGTAGTAGGTTGGTAGACAGCAACAACCGAGGGACGTACTACCGTCCTGTGTTAGTAGGTTGGTAGACAGCAACCACCGAGGGAGGTACTGCCGTCCTGTGGTACTAGGTTGGTAGACAGCAACCACCGAGGGAGGAACTACCGTCCTGTGGTAGAAGATTGGTACACAGCAACCACCGAGGGATGTACTACCGTCCTGTGGTAGTAGGTTGGTAGACAGCAACCACCGAGGGAGGTACTACCGTCCTGTGGTAGTAGGTTGGTAGACAGCAACTACCCAGGGAGGTACTACCGTCCTGTGGTAGTAGGTTGGTAGACAGCAACCACCCAGGGAGGTACTACCGTCCTGTGGTAGTAGGTTGGTAGACAGCAACCACCCAGGGAGGTACTACCGTCCTGTGGTAGTAGGTTGGTAGACAGCAACCACCCAGGGAGGTACTACCGTTCTGTGGTAGTAGGCTGGTAGACAACCACCCAGGGAGGTACTACCGTCCAGTATTAGAAGGTTGGTAGACAGTAACCACCGAGGGAGGTCCTACCGTCCTCTGGTAGTAGGCTGATAGACAGCAACCACCCAGGGAGGTACTACCGTCCTGTGGTAGTAGGTTGGTAGACAACAACCACCCAGGGAAGTACTAAGGTCCTGTGGTAGTAGGCTGGTAGACAGCAACCACCCATGGAGGTACTACCGTCCTGTGGTAGTAGGTTGGTAGACAGCAACCACCCAGGGAGGTACTACCATCCTGTGGTAGTAAGTTGGTATACAGCAACCACCCAGGAAGGTACTACTGTCCTGTGGTAGTAGGTTGGTAGACAGCAACCACCCAGGGAGGTACTACCGTCCTGTGGTAGTAAGTTGGTATACAGCAACCACCCGGGGAGGTACTACCGTCCAGTATTAGAAGGTTGGTAGACAGCAACCACCGAGGGAGGTACTACCGTCTTGTTGTAGGTTGGTAGACAGCAACCACCCAGGGAGGTACTACCGTCTTGTTGTAGGTTGGTAGACAGCAACCACCCAGGGAGGTACTACCGTCCTGTGGTAGTAGGTTGGTAGACAGCAACCACCCAGGGAGGTACTACCGTCTTGTTGTAGGTTGGTAGACAGCAACCACCCAGGGAGGTACTACCGTCCTGTGGTAGTAGGTTGGTAGACAGCAACCACCCAGGGAGGTACTACCGTCCTTTTTGTAGGTTGGTAGACAGCAACCACCCAGAGGTACTACCGTCCTGTGGTAGTAGGTTGGTAGACAGCAACACCAGGGAGGTACTACCGTCCTGTGGTAGCAAATTGGTAGACAGCAACCACCCAGGGAGGTATTACCGTCCTGTGGTAGTAGGTTGGTAGACAGCAACCACCCAGGGAGGTACTACCACCCTGTGGTAGTAGGTTGGCAGACAGCAACCACCCAGGGAGGTACTACCATCCTGTGGTAGTAGGCTGGTAGACAGCAACCACCCAGGGAGGTATTACCGTCCTGTGGTAGTAGGTTGGTAGACAGCAACCACCCATGGAGGTACTACCGTCCTGTGGTAGTAGGTTGGTAGACAGCAACCACCCAGGGAGGTACTACCATCCTGTGGTAGTAAGTTGGTATACAGCAACCACCCAGGAAGGTACTACTGTCCTGTGGTAGTAGGTTGGTAGACAGCAACCACCCAGGGAGGTACTACCGTCCTGTGGTAGTAGGCTGGTAGACAGCAACCACCCGGGGAGGTACTACCGTCCAGTATTAGAAGGTTGGTAGACAGCAACCACCGAGGGAGGTACTACCGTCTTGTTGTAGGTTGGTAGACAGCAACCACCCAGGGAGGTACTACCGTCTTGTTGTAGGTTGGTAGACAGCAACCACCCAGGGAGGTACTACCGTCCTGTGGTAGTAGGTTGGTAGACAGCAACCACCCAGGGAGGTACTACCGTCTTGTTGTAGGTTGGTAGACAGCAACCACCCAGGGAGTACTACCGTCCTGTGGTAGAAAGGTTGGTAGACAGCAACCACCAGGAGGTACTACCGTCTTGTTGTAGGTTGGTAGACAGCAACCACCCAGGGAGGTACTACCGTCCTGTGGTAGTAGGTTGGTAGACAGCAACCACCCAGGGAGGTACTACCGTCTTGTTGTGGGTTTGGTAGACAGCAACCACCCAGGGAGGTACTACCGTCCTGTGGTAGTAGGTTGGTAGACAGCAACCACCCAGGGAGGTACTACCGTCCTGTGGTAGTAGGTTGGTAGACAGCAACCACCCAGGGAGGTACTACCGTCTTGTTGTAGGTTGGTAGACAGCAACCACCCAGGGAGGTACTACCGTCCTGTGGTAGTAGGTTGGTAGACAGCAACCACCCAGGGAGGTACTACCGTCCTGTGGTAGTAGGTTGGTAGACAGCAACCACCCAGGGAGGTACTACCGTCCTGTGGTAGTATAGGCCATGAGGTTGAAGAGTTGTGGAGTAGATTTAAGAACGCAGTATTAGCGTGCATCAGAAGTTTGTGGATATTGGATGGTGGGTGTGGGTGGGAAGAGGAGCGATTGGTGGAATGATGAGAATAAGAAAATTATTTGGGGTGAAATTAATAAGTTGAGAAAGCCTAGGGAACGAATGGATTTCATGGTTAACAATAGAAGAGAGTTTTTAGATGGAGAGTTGTAGGTATCAGGAAAATAGAGGGAAAATTTTGAGGAACTGGTAAATGTTGATGAATATAAGGAAGCTGTGATTTCCTGCATTGGCCAGGGAGGTATAACATCTCGTAAGAATGAGGAAGAGCCAGATGTGTGTGTGGAATGGTTGGGGCATTTATTTAATAAATGAATGAGCGAGGGCAAGGCATCTAGGGATTCCCAAGGAGCGTGCATAGTTCTTTGTGAAAAAGCAAAGGGGACATACGGGAGTGCAACAATTAAGCCTGTTGAGTATACGTGGTAAAGTGTATGGTAGAGTTATTATTGAAAGAATTAAGAGTAAGACGTAGAGCAGGATCGCAGGAGGAAGCTTCAGACTGGGAAGGAGGCTTCAGACAGGGAAGGAGGCTTCAGACAGGAAGGGGATTTGTAAACCAAGTATTTACAGGGAAGCATTTAAGTGAACAGTATTTATATAAGGGCAAATAGGTTTTCATTGCATATATGGATTTGGAAAAGGCATACGGTAGGGTGCATAGGGAAGCAATGTGGCAGACGTTGCAAGTGTATGAAATAGGTGCTAGGTTACTGAAAGCAGTAAAGAATTTTTGTGAGGATAGTGAGGCTCAGGTTAGAGTATGTAAGAGAGAGGGAGATAATTTTCCAGTAAATGTCTGCCTTCGACAGATGCGCAACGTCACCATAGTTGTTCATTATATTTATAGATAAGGTTATAACAGAAGTGAATACTGGGGTGCTGGGAAGAGGTATAGAATTAAAAGATGAATCAAACACAAAGTGGGAGTTGTCACAGTTGCTCTTTGCTAATGACACTGTGCTTTCGGGAGATTTTGAAGAGAAGTTGCAGAAGTTGGTGAACGAATTTGAGATGGTATGTGTAAGAGAAGGAAATTAATAGTAAATATAGGAAAGAGCAATGTGATGATAAAAAAATTGGGTAACGGGGATAGAACCCGCGATCAGAGTCTCAAAACTCCAGACCGTCGCGTTAGCAATCGTGTCATTACGATTTCGTGAGTCTGGATATCAGACTGGAGGGAGAGAGTATGGAGGAAGTGAATGTTTTCAGATATTTGTGAGTGGACTTGTCAAAAGATTGGTCTATGAAAGACGAGGGTAACCATAGAACAGACGAGGAGTGAAAAAATGTGAGTGGTGCACTGAAGAGTCTGTGGAGAAGAACGTTATCCAAGAAAGCAAAGAGGAAAATATATGAGAGTATAGTGTTACTAACGCTCTTATATGGGTGTGAAGCATGGGTGGTGAATGTTGCAACAAGAAGGCAGTGATGTCGTGTCTGAGGGCAATGTATGGTGTGAATATTATGCAGAGAATACGTAGCTTGGAGATTAGAAGGAGGGGCGGAGATTGTAAAAGTATTACCCAGAGGGTTGTGGAGCGGTTGTTGAGATGGTTCGGACTTTTCAAGAGAGTAGATCAAAATAGAATTTCTTGGAGGGTGTATAAAGCTATTGTCGAAGAAAGACTGGAGAAGGGTCGTCCTAGGAAGGGTTGGAGGGAGGGGATAAAGGAGGTTTTGTGTGCAAGCAAATGTTTTTATAACTTGACATGCTATTGGAGTGTGAACAAAGTAACATTCACGAAAAGATTCATGAAACCGGTTAGCCGGACTTTGAGTCCAGGAGGTGGGAAATACAGTGCCTGTATTTTGAAGGAGAGGTGTTGATATGTTGCAGTTTTTGTTTTAAGTATAGGGTGTACGCCTCTGGCAACAGTGATGGACTGAATGATGATGAAAATGTTTTTTCTTTCTTTTGGGTCACCCTCCCTGGGTGGGAAACGGCCGATGTGTTAATAAAAAAAAATCTCCCAAGAAAACTGCATCATTTGAATGTTATACATAGAACACACACAGATACACACGATCCTTGCAACCACAAATAGCCACCCAATTGTAAAACAGATTTTTACTGATATTCAAACACTGAAGATATATCAGGGTTGTGTAAGATCTCGTTTGAGATGATAGACTAACCTGAACCGTTTTCCGTGTGTCCTTCACCTTTCTGATAGTGATGGTCTGGACAGGTATATAAGAGTTGACTCGCATGTTATGCGCCACTCACTCTGCGTTCTCTCTGACGCCAACATGATCCTGGTAAGGTATTTCTGTACCTCTGTACCAGTCCTCTATATTCTCATAAGGTCTAGTGACAGAGATTTTTAGAGTGCCACCCTCTAGAGTGCCACATTTCAGTAATTTTTATAGCGTATTAAAAACCATGTTTAAATTTAGAGAAATTTCGCGAGGCTAAAAATTTGTGAAAAACTGTTACCAAAATGACTTCTTTGCTTTTGAACACTTAGGAAAGTAATTCATTTCTCGTCTTGCAGGAAGTAGTATTTTGTACTTTGTTGGTTGTTGTGGGAGCCGATAAGCTCCCGTCTACATCTTACGGAGTACCCGCCAGGGGAAGTGGAGGCTTCGCTGCGGGATCCAGAGGAGGCTTTGGTATTTCATCAGTTAGAGGTTCGGCAGGTGGCTTTGGGACCTCAGCAGGTGGAGCATTTGAAGGGTCAGCTGGAGGAAGATTCGGAGCATCATCTGGTGGAGCCTTTGGAGGTTCTGGTGGGGGAGGCTTTGGAAGACCTGCTGGTGGAGCCTTCGGGAGTTCAGCTGGTGTAGGTTTCGGGGGAGCTGGCAGTGGAAGTTCTCTTAGTGGAAGTTACACTCCTACAGGTCCCGTAGTCCCCATCTTAGTAGATGACCGTCAAGGACCTGATGAGTATGGAAACTACAATTTCAACTTTGAAACTGGTGATGGCATCAGTCGTCAGGAGCAAGGCGCCCCTCAGGGTCCAACTGGTGCTGTGGCAGCTCAGGGAGGATGGACGTAAGTATTCTTTAACAGTGTTTCACAGAATAAGTGTGTAAGATGTTTTCTCTCGAAATATATGACATTTTCTTAGGTTAATAACGAATCTAACTGTAATATTGTGTTTCAGATTTACTTTCCCCGACGGAACTCCCGCTGATTTCAGCTTCATAGCAGATGAAGGTGGTTACCGAGTGGAGTCTCCTCTTCTGCCACCTCTCCCCGCCCACGCTATCGCCCAGATCGAGAAGGCTCGCCAGGAAGACGCCGCTGCAGCTGCCGCAGGTGGACGAGGATCATATAGTGATGCTTCAAGTTCTGCGCCTCAGTTTACTGGAGCGCCTGCTGGAGGCTTCGGTGGTTCACCTGCTGGTGGCTTCGGTGCTTCACCTGCTGGTGGCTTCGGTGCTTCACCTGCTGGTGGCTTCGGTGCTTCACCTGCTGGTGGCTTCGGTGCTTCACCTGCTGGTGGCTTCGGTGCTTCACTGCTGTGGCTCGTGTTCACCTTTTGATCGCTTCGGTGGTTCACCCAGTAGCTTCGGAACCCCACGCCGTGGTGGCGCTCCTGTGGCTCCCAGTAGAACTTACGGTGCCCCATAAGCATTACTCTTTATCATGCCAATGACTCCATCATTCTCGATAGATATTCGTTACATATTTTCTCACTTGTTACCTCGTTCTGTTTTTGTCATTCTTGGGCCCCTAAGTCTGCTAATCTTGCCACATCTGGTCTGTTATTTGACGGTGCAATGACACTAAATACGCTTATTACTTTTTTGTTATGTATTTAATAAAAATAAAATTATTTTAAATATACGTTTTTCCATATATAAAATTCTAATGGCTTGATTTCTAGAAAAATTGCATTACAAGAATAAAAAAAAAATTGGCATTTGTCAATGTGATTAAGAAGATAACCTGTGTTCAACATATTATTTTGTTATAATACCAATAATATATATATTAATCAATTATAAGTGTAATTTAATTATCAGGGGAAACTGAGAAATGATTTTTGTATCGACTATTTCACATCTCAAAATTACCCTTTTTCCATCTTTTCTTATGGATATGTTGACTAACACTTGTGTGGTGGTTGATGTCTGCTCTCAGTAGTGAGTAATAGTTGAGGCATGGTTGTGATGTCAGCTGATAGTAGTGAATGGTAACTGTGGTGGTAAGCTGACAGCAGTGAGTTGTAGCTGTGTGGTAGTTGTTAAGTGAGTGTTGGAGTAGCAGCTGTGTGGTTTTTGTGTTGTATGCTGGTGGTTGTCAACTAACAGTAGTGAACCGGTAGCAGTGTGGTGGTTGTGTTAACTGGCAGTTGTGAGTAGATGTGTGATGGGTGCTAGCTGACACTGGGTGGTGATTGTTAGCTGACAATAAGTAGTTGCTGTGTTGTGGTTGTGTTGTCAGCTGACAGTGGAAAGTAGTAGCTGTGTGGTTGTTGTTAGCTGACAGCAGTGAGTGGTAGTTGTATGATGGTTAGCTGACAGCAGTGTGTGTAGCTGTGATGTTAGCTAACAGTGAGTTATAGCTGTGTAGTGGTTATTAGCTGACAATGAGTGATAGTTATGTTGTGGTTATCAAACAGCAGTAAAACACACACACACACACACACACACACACACACACACACACAATCGCAAACAGGCAATCTTTACAATGGAGAACAAGCCACATGAGAATGGAAATCTTTAGCTCTAGATCTTTCGTGTCGTCGGTTGCTGTCTCACAATGTTGCGAGACAGAAACAGAAGGGAAAATTCTCTGAGTCAAGGAGAAGGTATCAGTGGTAACCCATGTCAGAGTGAAGGCCACCACTGACTCCATCACCTACCTTCCCGTCCCCTCACACCTTCCGGGGTAAGAGGTGGTGGTCACCTCAGAGGTTTACAGAAAGTTACGGAATGCAGTAGTCAGCCTTAAACTGCATCTAATCGATATTAATTGATCTATTATCATATGGAATAATTTTACCTACGTGGTTAATAGAGCCTCAAACTCAGGCTATATATAACATTGCATTATTATAAGAATCAGATTAACTATTTGTCAGCTATACTATCATATGTTAGAGACTGTTAGCAGAGACGATCTCTATATATTTACTAAATACCAACATATTTACCTATCCTGAACCATAACAGTTGCGCTGTTTCTTCACACTAGGACCCCGACGCGTTAAGTCACTCGACAGACTTTCCCAGGCTATCCTAAAAAACTCACATATACGATTTTATGTAAGTTATAGTTATATCAACTTTTTTAACTGTACTAGTATACAGGGCCTAATCAGATTTACCAATAATAGGGAATTTCCCATTTACGACATTACTGAAGGTGGAACCCAATCTGCGACGGCCGAAACGTGTGGAACAGTCTATCATAGTCTACCCTCAAAATGAAACTGGAGTAATTGAGTGTTATTACAGGCATGCTCTCCCCCGTACACTCCTGAGGAAATGTTAAACCTCCCGATATTCTTTATATACTGTGACTCGTTGGAGGGGATTCCCGTTGGGGGAAAACGTGTAGGAAAGGTGCGCGGAACTCTGGTCTAACGCTACCAAATCCTCACGAAGAACCGTTACATAATGGCAATCCGGGGATTTTGTATAGCATCCTTGCTTACGATTTTGCACAACTGACTACTAAAATAAGACATTCCTTTTATGTTTGATGAGAGAGGATTAAATTATGTTCTTTATCACAATAGAACTATTGGGTACAATGACCGGAGCTGCTACCCGCCTCGGCGGGTGATTGCAAGTACAAATGTAATTAAAGATTTCATTTGACTCCTGAGCCGTCCTTACCGAGTACTAATGCTGAGCTAATCGATTTCAAGTGGTTTACCTGTCTGCCTGACATACGAAAGAGAGCATAGTATGATTAGGACCTTGTAAACACCAACAATCTTAGATGGTGCATTCTTAATCACCTGCATCACTGTCCCGATGTTCTTGAAGAGAATAACTGAGCCTTTTTTAATGCATTACACAGGCTGGCCATATTCTCATTGTTAGGCAAAATCAGTATATTTCTCCTGGATGGTACTTCCCTAGATTCAGTCCTGTAGAAAGTGTTCTTGGCTGCCAATAAGGCCTTCACAACAAGATCCTTAGGATACCTCTGTTTAGTAGCTATGTTGAATATCTAAATAATTCCATAAACCAAATATACTGGGCTTAACGTATTTGTAGCCTAGTAGGTTTCCATTTTACACTCAATTGGCAGGACAGTAGTGCCTCCCTGGGTGGTTGCTGTCTCCTAACCTACTACCTAGAATATACAGTGGAACCACCAGTCACGAATGCTTCCGAACACGAACAAATCTGTTCACGATCAAAAAATTAGCCAATTTTTTGCATCTGGTCATGAACACATAATCGGGTGCCAAACAAACACAACCACGCCAATTTTGACATTTGCACCATTTATTTCACATGCCAATTTTGACATTTGGACCATTTTTTTTCACATGCCAATTTTCCCCGCTTCCTTGTAGTCGGCCTCGGTCAGACGTGCGTTCATCTGGTGTGAACTCCTTGTGTTGTATTTCGTGTGTTTTTGAATTTAGTTTCCTTGGTTGTTTACGGTATGTTTTTTCTCTGTTATTTAAGGTTTTTTCTCTATTAAATTGTGCATTATTTTGTAAAATTACACAAAAATAGTTATACAGATTATCATACACAGCAGCATATGTGTAGAGAACCTAAGATAACCCAAAAAAGTCAGAGTGACTTATTTTCTCGAATTATTCTTTTTCGGTGCGCACTCGTTTACGTCGATTATCTCGGAAGATATTCATATATGGTAAGAGGTTGGTAGACAACATCCCAGGGAGGTACTACCGTCCTGTGGTAGTAGGTTGGTAGACAGCAACAGCCCAGGGAGGTACTACCGTCCTGTGGTAGTAGGTTGGTAGACAGCAACAGCCCAGGGAGGTACTACCGTCCTGGGGGTAGTAGGTTGGTAAAACAGCAACAGCCCAGGGAGGTATTTACCGTCCTGTGGTAGTAGGTTGGTAGACAGCAACAGCCCAGGGAGGTACTACCGTCCTGTGGTAGTAGGTTGGTAGACAGCAACCACCCAGGGAGGTACTACCGTCCTGTGGTAGTAGGTTGGTAGACAGCAACCACCCAGGGAGGTACTACCGTCCGTGGTAGTGGGTTTGGTAGAACAGTAACCACCCAGGGAGGTACTACCGTCCTGTGGTAGTAGGTTGGTAGACAGCAACCACCCAGGGAGGTACTACCGTCCTGTGGTATTTGGGTTGGTAAAAGCAACAGCCCAGGGAGGTACTACCGTCCTGTGGAGTGTTGGTAGACAGCAACATCCAGGGGGGTACTACCGTCCTGTGGTAGTGGGTTTGGGTAGACAGCAACACCCTAGGAGGTACTACCGTCTGTGGTTAGTTGGTAGACAGCAACAGCCCAAGGAGGTACTACCGTCCTGTGGTTGTGTTGGTAACAGCACGCCTAGGGAGGTATACCGTCCTGTGGTATAGGTTAGTAGACAGCAACCACCCAGGGAGGTACAACCGTCCTGTGGTATTTAGTTGGTTGACAGCAACAGCCAGGAGGTACTACGCCTGTGGTAGTAGGTTGGTAGACAGCACATCCAGGGAGGTACTACCGTCTGTGGTAGTAGGTTGGTAGACAGCAACATCCAGGAGGTACTACCGTCCTGTGGTAGTAGTTTTGGTAGACAGAACCACCCAGGGTGGTACTACCGTCCTGTGGTAGTGGGTTGGTAGACAGCAACAGCCCAGGGAGGTACTACCGTCCTGTGGTAGTGGGTTGGTAGACAGCAACACCCCAGGGAGGTACTACCGTCCTGTGGTAGTGGGTTGGTAGACAGCAACAGCCCAGGGAGGTACTACCGTCCTGTGGTAGTAGGTTGGTAGACAGCAACATCCCAGGGAGGTACTACCGTCCTGTGGTAGTAGGTTGGTAGACAGCAACAGCCCAGGGAGGTACTACCGTCCTGTGGTAGTAGGTTGGTAGACAGCAACAGCCCAGGGAGGTACTACCGTCCTGTGGTAGTAGGTTGGTAGACAGCAACAGCCCAGGGAGGTACTACCGTCCTGTGGTAGTGGGTTGGTAGACAGCAACAGCCCAGGGAGGTACTACCGTCCTGTGGTAGTAGGTTGGTAGACAGCAACAGCCCAGGGAGGTACTACCGTCCTGTGGTAGTAGGTTGGTAGACAGCAACAGCCCAGGGAGGTACTACCGTCCTGTGGTAGTAGGTTGGTAGACAGCAACCACCCAGGGAGGTACTACCGTCCTGTGGTAGTAGGTTGGTAGACAGCAACAGCCCAGGGAGGTACTACCGTCCTGTGGTAGTAGGTTGGTAGACAGCAACATCCCAGGGAGGTACTACCGTCCTGTGGTAGTAGGTTGGTAGACAGCAACCAGCCCAGGGAGGTACTACCGTCCTGTGGTAGTGGGTTGGTAGACAGCAACATCCCAGGGAGGTACTACCGTCCTGTGGTAGTAGGTTGGTA